TTTTTTATTTCTTTGGTGAATCAGTGGGATTCTTTCTAGTAGAAGTCTACTATGTATGATATACTATAGATGTGTCATGGAGATAAACAAGTTAATTTTTCAAACTTAAAAACTGCATCCTGATTTCAGGAAGAGATCACCAAAGCCATCCCATAAATTAAAGCATGTAATCAGTGTGAAATTATAACCTTGATTTTATCTTGGACAGAGATCTTTAGTTTAGTGTGATTACTTCATAATCTAGAGCCAGACACTTTACTATCCACCTTTTATTTCGTAAAAAAATTAAAAAAAAAAAATACAAAAGCAATCAAAAAGCCAACCTTTTCATTTGTCTGGGGACTTATAATCATCAGAAGACGTATGAAACATTACAGTTTAGTTTGGTATGGGAACACCGTTGAAATAGGTTGGAATAGCACAGTGGACTTCTGCCTGAGTTCTATTTATTATGGTGAATATGGAACACAAAATATTTGCTTAAATTGTCTGCAATACAAAGTGTGCTCTGAGATAATAGTAAAAAAATTCAATACAGCTTCTTTATTCCACTGTCAGCACATCCATACCTTTTTTTCCCCTGTGTCTTTAAATATCTTCTTGAAAACCTTTCAGAGGTAGTTTTATTAACTTAACATAGTGCAGATGTCGCTAGCTTGAGAAATAAGTCACAATGAGTTGTAGTGTTGTGTCAAAAATATCATTAAGAGGCTTAGAATGAGGAGAGCAATTAATGAACAGTCTTCCCTACGAACAAATGTCAGAGACTCCTCCAGGGCTAAGCTGCTTCTGTGCCGTATTCGTTAATTGCTCCTTTGCACAAAGTTGGTGTTGATGGTTTAATTAAGCATACCTGAGAAAATCCACAAAAGCAGATCAGAAGTATTAGAATGAGAAATCTGCTTTTAATTTAATAGATAAAGACTTTTTCATTCTCAGTGGGTTTTATGCTTCATGTAACTGTTTCTGGCTGACATTTCTTCCTGACTACTGCGTTGTCCTCACTGGAGAGTGGCAGAAGRCATGGTTTGCTTCAGGATGCATGCCAAATACCATGCTCATATTTAAGTCTCTAATATTAAAAATGTATTAAATCTGTCATAATGGAAGACATCTCTCAGAACAGTCTTAGTCTACCTGTTGAGAAATGGCAGGAAAGGGAAGAAACACATGTGARAAGAAAAGCAGAAATCTTAGACTGGTAAAGCTCATTTCAAACTTGCTGACCCTGTACCCTGGTTAAAAATACCTCCTTGGGAAAATASAGAGCAGCTCTGTAGTGAAAATTTTTATGTAAATCTGGATTGTTCATTGTATTTGGTGGTTTACAGGTCTAAATTGAAACTTGATTAATGGTGGCCCCCAAAATCCATGTTATTATGTGAAATACAGTAATACATGTATCAGCATGGGGTTTTGGTTACATTTTGTATTCTATTTTGCCACTCAGTAAGACAGAGGCAAGCATAGTCCATATAGTATAGACACTTGGGAAAGTCTCCCTAAAGGTGAAGGATATTTCTGGATGTTTTTTTCTGTGCATTGAAATGAAAATTATTATTTTATATTTTGATCAGAGGCTTCAAGGGAGGGGGGGAAGTCTTTCAGTTATATTCAGTTATACTGCTTTTACTTTGGTTTTATTCACGAGTCCTATTGTGCAAAGTCAATCAGAATATGAAGAACAGTTTGGTGAAAGAATTCATAGTTTGCAGTTTTGAGCCAAGTGGTAACTGGAAGCTTTAATAGCCTTTCARTACCACTTCAGAAATGGAGATGTGCCATTGGACAGACATGTCAGAACTCAATMAAAATAGCATATCCCACAGTGGGCATTCATCCAGAAATCTAAAATTAGCATTGTATCCTGGATATAGTACTGCAGGTGGCCACAAGCACTAAATTGTATTCAGCACCCTCTGTTATTCAAGCAGGTCTTAACAGACTTGTTTTAAACATTTTACAGTTTTATGCAAGACTAACTTACTGCTGTTACTATTGTTCTTTATGTGACATCAAAATGTGAAACGTGTTTCCTAGGAATTAAAACAAAGCCTCAGCCAGAGATGTTTAACGTGGTTCTGCTTGAATGGAAGTCAGTGGCACAATTCCAGCTGACTTCAGCTGGGAGTATTAGTAGATCCTGACTTCTTTCTGATAATATATATAAACACACAGCCAGTTGGCAGGTTTGAGTGTGATTTATTTCACATTATRCTATTTTACTTGTAGCATTCCAGTAGAGTTTGGCCAAATAAGCTCGAAGAAAAGTTCTATCCCTGTATAAGGGGAATGTAAACCTTGAGGAGAAACAGAGCTCGGGTATTATGGTTTGATTAATTACTTGAATATTTATGCAAATTGCAGTAGGCTCTGATGAGTGTCATATGGGGAAAGTCTGTACTGACTTTTTCTTTCCATTATTCTGCCCTTTTCTTGCCATTTCTGGAACAATAGATGGACATAGGCTTTTTAATGTCTGTGAGCAGCAGGTTTCTTTAAAACCCACTGGAATGACCTGTAGCAATAAGATAGGATTTTTTAATGACATATTCACTGAGTACAGGTGTTAGTTATTGTGTTTGTTTTCAGATAGTGGTAACAAGAGCATATGTTTTTCACTTTTTCTGTAGATGTCTCTATGTGTGTGGGCAGGGTGTGGGAGAGAGATGACAAACACCTAGGAGATAGAATGTTTCCTTTACTTTTTTATATTTTAACTATATATGACCAAAWTTTTTTCAAGTTCAGAGTTTATTATTTAATATTTCAGAGGCTGTAAATAGACTTCTGACTTTTAAACATTACTTTTAACTAAGGTGAGAGACTGCTGTTTCATTGCTTTGGTCACGGGTTTGTTTTTTTTTTTTCCCAGCAATTCCTTGTCATATTGAATAGCTGTGAGTATTCCAACAGCTTCTTGAGTGATAAAAGAAATTCTTCATGCTTAATTTACGTGTCTGATATTTTCATTACTTTCACTTGTAAGAGTTTAGRTAATGCTGGGATATGTGTACAGAAGGGGACACAGCAGGTAGAGTGGATAAGGCAGGAGTGTAAATTCTCCAAAGATTTGTGGCAGAGGCTTGTTCTGTTTATTTTCCATAGTAGATTAGTGGTGAACTTCAGAACTGTGATGAGATTGAGCAGTACTTGTGCTTTGAAACCTGAGGGAGTAAAAAAAAAACCCCACATATAAAATGTTTATTAAAGGTAATTTTAAGTGATTGCAGATGCATCATGTCTGTATGGAAATAAAGGAGCTCTGTAAACCTAAACCCAGTGGCCTAAGCAAGTTTGCTTCATTGATTRTAAGTCTTTGCTACTGTGGGAAGAACAGTAAGTAATAAAAAAATGAAAAGTTTCAGGAAGAAAAGTAAGCTTTCGCCCAACAGAATAAATTTGGCATTAATGGGCCTATAATGTGATGTGGTGCCACAAGGATCTTGGTTTGTTTGCGTCTCAGAGGAGCAAATGTTGCAGCCATGGAAGTGACTGATGCTACATTTAGTTTGAAGCAGAAATGAGTTCTGCAGGTCTGGTTTGCTTTCCAAGAGAAGTTGATGTATGTGTGTAAATGCAAACAACAAAAAGAGCCTTTTAAGAAAGTATATGGTTTAGGATGAATTTTGGGGAAGCTGAATGCTATGTCATGAGATCTAATGGAGTTGTAGTTATTTTCATAGCATAATACCTATTTTCAAGCCATATAAATAAAGATTTAAAAAAAAATAGGCCTATGATGCCTTTCTCCTATCTAGGGGAGAAATTAACTTGTACATGCTGCTTGCTTTTGTAAATTAGTTCAGACTGCTTCAGTGGAAGGTGCTATATGGATAAATAGGTCAATTATATTCGAGTTCAGTGAACTTATTGAAAAATAATTTTAAAAAATTGAGTGCGAAGGAGCTACTGATACTCTGATAAAGAAAAATATCCCATGGTGTTTTAATGTTCTAACCTGGATAGCAGCATAAACAGTTGAAAAACACATTTAAGATAGAAGAATTCAGAAGAGTTTTGGTTCCTCCAGTCTCTCTTTTAATAAAATTCTGGTTATGCTCTGAGATTTAGGGAAAAAAAAAAACCCAACAAAAACAAAAGGAAACAACACCCTCTACCTCTTCCCTGAAAATGACCATTTTAGTGCTTATTTCAAGTACAATGGGTGTGCTGGCCCAGCTGGGTGCTAGTGAAAAGAAAACTCTTAAAGGCAGAGCTTGTTCATGGACTYTACTTTCCCTAAGTTTCTGTGCTTCTCAGTAAATGCACCCTGTGCACGCAAAGCATTTTTGAGTCAGCTCTCTGAACAACCACATCTATTGCTTAGATGTTTCATCTCTTTTTATAAGAAGGATTTAAACTTCACAGAAATAAATTATTCCCATATTGTTGCTAGTTTTAACACTAATTTTAGACAAAGTTGCTTTAGATATGGGGAGAAAAATTTCTCTATATTGTTTCGGTGACAACTGGAGACTTTTATGAGAAGTAGAAAATGTGACTAGTTCTTTGTGATATGACATTTTAGGACAGATTGACAAACAGCTTGAATGACATTTGAAATGTGAAATTTTCTAAAAGCTCACTGCCTTTGCTATATGTAAACACTGCTGGGAGAAAAACAAGCTTTGATTTAAAAAAGAAAAAAGATGAGGGAGAGAAGAGCAAGTTATGCTTTAAGCTATTTCCTTGTATGATTAACACCTGGACTGTCTTCAGAAAATGGCATGTCTTTCTGCTTTTATAATTTCAGAGTGGTTATTGTCTGAGCAGTAGGGTGCTTTTTTCTTTATCTGATGCCTTACTCAGTTCTTTGCAGCCTCCTGACTCAGTTAGGAAGCTAAAATTGCAGTTTTASCTATCAGACATAGAAATCATTAACAACATTTATTGACTCCTAAGCACTCTTCTGTTATCTTGATGCTGTCAGATCACCCTTGCCTGCTTTCTACAAAACATAATTGAAAACAATGAAATTTCTCAATTTTTCTGGACAGGTTACAGACTGGAGAAGATTTTTATCTGAGAAAACCTCATTCAAGATGAAGCTATAAGAAGCGGCATCTGCTAGCGGTAAGAACAGCTTTAACAAAGAAATCTCAACAAAAAAACCCTGTGTGCTTTTTCTGCTGTGTCCTTTGCGYTAATCTAAGAGATGTTTTGCAGAGGTCAGATAAGACAGTTGAAGTGGAAGTGAACAAAAATCCATTTACACTGACTTCAGATTTTTAGATTTCAGTAGCTCTAACTWCCTTGCATAGCTCAGTTCAGCTTTATAGCAACAATTAATGCTCTGGTTTTGATTCTTTAAATTTGATTTATGTATGAAACTCCTTCAACAGGGTAGGATAGATAGAATTGYAACTGCTTCAGGGTGAGGAAGTGAGCAAGGATAATTAAATGCAGCTTAAAGTAGTCTTATTTATCGAAGAACATTCTCCATGAGGAGTAATAGTATCCTGTCAACTAAGAAATGAAGAAACGGTAAAGAGAAGATAATTTAAATTAAAAAGAAAAAAAATACTTTAATAGACCAGAAAGTAGGATGCAAAGCGTAAAAGCTGAAAAGGAGGCATACTGTAAAAATGCTCCTTTTCATAATATGTTAGCAAGTCAACATAATTCTCTTATATTTCACTTTGTATTTGGAACCAAAGCTACACACGGATACATCTCGCTGGAAATGTGTGATTATTTTTAATTAGAACTTTGCAAGTTTTTTTGCATATTAAATACAACAAAGTAGTTAGTAATTTGATATATTAGAATGTTAGAAATAAGGTAAAAAGGAACTTAGATGRTTACAATTGTTAAATATTGACTTTGATGGTCTGGTCATGGTAAGTTCTCCCATCTTTTGGACTACAYGTGAAAACTGGGAGTAGTGACAAAAATCTGCTTTCTAATGGTGTGTAATARCATAAACTGGAGAAAGCCTTTGGCCTTCTTGATATGGATTATATCTGTTCTGAGGATGACATGGCTGGAACCCTCTTGTCCCCATTCCTTCCCCCCTTTAAGACAGGTGTTGATAAAATAAAATACTACCCCTGTTTGCTAAGCTTTGCTTCTTTTTGTCACCTTTGTGTGCTTTTTGTCTCATAGATTGTCCCTCCTCCATACATTTACCAGACAGTAACATCTTCTTAGTCCTGTAAAAGTCCTGTACCACAAGACACTGTGAGCTTAAAATGCTCATCAGATCTATGCATGTGAAGTGTATTATTTGTGTTGATCTGGAATCTTTCTTTATTATTATACTTTTTTGAATGCTCATTGTGTCATTCTGCCAAAGGAAAATAATTCTCCCCGCCATCTATTGTGTTTTGTTGAATTTAAGCAGGTTTTACCAAGTTCCTGTCAGGTAGCAGTGCTGTGGTTGTGTGTAGGTTAGATGCTAAAAATTGTGTGAGAAGGATAAAAGAAAGGTTGAGAGGAGTGGTCAGGAAGTAGCAGGGTGTTAGGAGATGGGTTTGGAGTGAGTTCAGAGTGAAGAGGMCGATCAGGATGCGTGGGAAACGGATATTTTGTTCTCAGACATCAGATGAGGAAGGCTGGTATCAATTTGTAGGGAGGGATGTGATGAAAAATGAGACTCTGATAACTGTTTGAAGGTTTGAAAGCAATCTTTGATGTGCTGTAAAATATATGTCTGGTGACATTTTCTAAAACCAAGGATGGCAATGCTGTCAACTCCATTTCAGTTGAGGTCTTCTAATTTTTTTAATGCTGCTACTCTGTGAATAACAGAGTACAGAAAGTAACACTTTGCTGAGCAGTAGAAGTGTTAAGGTTATGGGGTGCAKGGGGAAGGTGTTTGGGAYGTGCTGTAAATGTCACCTGGGGCTATGGTGTGGCACAGGAAGCTGTCTGCAGTTGGCTTCCCGGCTGCCAGGGGCCAGGAGCAGTGCGGGACTTCACAGAGAGCTGGTGGTGTTAGTGCTATAAATAGCTCTGAGGCACCATCCTGTTACAAAAAGAACTGAAGTGACCATCAGGCCATGCCCTCAGTGGGCTCTCCCTCCATCCCTCCTTGGGCAGAGGTTTCCCCTCAGCTTTGCCAGAGTGCTTTTCCAGGTACAAAGCACCAGGGTTCTGCCTGTGATGTCTCTGTCACTGAATGTGCATGGAGCACAAAGGTGGACGTACACTCAGTGTGAACTCAAATTTACTGTGAGAACACTGAATTCCAATCATTGTGGGGCACTGACAGTTAAATAAAGAAACAAAAATGCCTCAGCCTTGATAATTCAACYTGCTGCATTCATACCCATCATTTTGGTTGTATGGGAGGGAAAGAAGTCTTGCCCTGACATGAAGTGCCGGTGCAGCCAGACGCCAAACTGCAGCAGGTGTTGTCAAGGAGTGAAGGACCTGCAATTTGCAGGAWGGCTGCTTGGGAGGAGTAGAGGGATGTCTGCTTTTGAACAGCAGATTTGCCCCTACTTGCTGAAACTTTTTTKCTGGTGACTGTAGCTGCTCTTGGCCTCTTTGAAACATACAGAAGCTGGCTTGCTGTACCGTGGTGATTAGAAAATATTAATTTCGTTACACACGAAAATCCCTAATGAAAGTCCCTAATGAAAGGTTGACCATTTTCTGCCACTGGTAATTTCTAAACTTTTTTTTTTTGTAAATGTAATTGCTGTTATGATTACAGAATGCCAAATTGAGTTTGGGGACATATGCAATATTCTTTTACCACTAGTCTAGTCAAATAATTTTAAATGAGACAAAGAGCTCGTTGAACACCCAAATTGGTTTGTTTACTTCAGAAGCTTAACTGCATTAAAATCAAAGAGCTTTCATGGGCAGGGGGTAATCTGTGTCATTGCTGGACGCCATTAATCACCCCCTCGACTGAAGGCAACACTTTGGAAAAGTGACTTATAGATGATTGAATAACTTTACTCTCTACTCCACTAATGGTTCCCAGCAGGCTGCTAGCGTGCAATCACAAACATCTGTGCATTTGAAAGTTTCCACTTCCCCAAACAGAGACATATTTTACAAAGAAAAAAAAAGGGGGAAAAAAAAAAGTGAATTTGTTTTTGCATGAGTAGTCTTTTGTAGAAAGGTCTAATGGAAAATGCTCATGCTTTAACTCTTGTATGTTATAATATCATCTGAGTTTATCTTGAGATCTTTATGCTCTTGATGGYATTAGAAGATTTTTTTTGTTTTAATTTGTTTTTGTTGTTTTTGCTCCGTAGGATCTTTCTGACATTGGATATCCAATAGTGAAAGAAAATGTATTCTGCTTGCCTAGTAACTCATGGATGTTTTTGTTTTAACTGTGTTTGAAGTAAATGTAGCCACTTACCCCTAGACACTGCAGTGTGTGCATTACTTATTCAAARCTGACAGTTCAAACTCTTTGAGAAACAAGCTTAACAGAAGAGAGAACAAAAATCCTTTCTCCAGGCAGTCTGCTACTTCTAAAGCGGTCTCTTAGACAAACATTTAATTACCCAGGGAAAGAGCGCTGGGCTTTCACTGTGTTTCGTCTCTATGCAGTGTCACTGTGGTTCCTCACCACACCTGTCCCATAGGTRCATAGCTGTTGTCACCATCACAGATTCACTGACTGAAGATTTCTTGGGACTGAAACAGATCCTCCAGTCAACCACCCATSTTCAAACCATATTTGTTTTCATTTAGCCTCTTCTAGCACATTTTACAGAGTATCTCAACTCTGGAAACCTTTTACTCTTGAGGACCTCCAATATTTATTCTACATATCCTGTAGAGTGTTAATCCAAGACTGACATCTTAAAAACATGAGATGGRTTGTGCTGTTTCACAGTTCACTTTTCACTGTTCTTGCACTGGCTGAAAAGACCTCAGCTAAGAKGACTTGATAGGTAGGAAAAAAGGAAAAAAAACGATGATCCAAAGGAAAGGAGGAAGAATGCCTCCCTTATCGGTCAAAGATAATTGGTTCTGTACTGAATACGTGCTTTAAGTTATCTATGGGTGAGGATATGACAGGATTAATCAGTTTCATGAAGCAGTGAAAATTTACTGTGTAATTGAAAGGTGAAAGGTTTGCATCCCTTAATCACATTGGTGCTGGGGTAAGATAAAGATAGCCTTGAGTTAGAAGTCTAACAATTAATAATGAAAAGGAAAGTGAGATGAATTGTGTGTGTTCCTAACATGAATGGGACTCCTAGGTAAGTACCTGTTACTCCAGAATATGTTGTAACAAAAGGTTGATGTATAGTGGGAGAATAGGACACCTGAAGTTTCTGTTAAGTACCTCTGACAAAGCTAACTATGATTTTAGAAGGGCATCTTTGCCTATTCCAACATTTCTCTTGGGAGTGGGAAATGTTAGAAGGATTCAGAGTTCCCACTTTGCTATCAAGTGGGAAGGCACCTTTTCCATACTGTCTCAAATCACTTGTCCAGTTGCTTAGATGAGGCACCCTTTAAGTTGCCACCTAACAGGTCTTATGTCCCTGAAAATTCTTCCTATCAGGTTTTCTTTTTCTGTGAGCTTCTTATAGGTTTCATTTCTGTGGCCTGTGGTTTAAATGTACTCATCGCTGGTGTCTTGGACTGAGCACCCATGGGGTGATGTTCAATTCTGAGCAGAATATCTGAGTTTTGAACTCCCTGAATGTATTCTGGCATGTCATCTGAACTGGTAATTCCTATTATTGGTAAGAAAATGTTGTAAAAAAGCATGGCTGGCAGAGGGATCATTGTGTGYGATTTTTTTTGCCCACTGAACTCAAATGTTTTATCTGTACATGTGTTGCACTACCTGTTTCCTTTTCTTTAGATTCAGAAAATTACTTGATTATTATAAACTAATCCACAGTAAGACAGAACTGTCCCATGTACAAATCMTTCCCTGCAGAATTTCTGTAGCCAGAGGAACTTAAGCAGCTACAGTAGTGGTGAAGTGGCAAGGATTGCTCCAAATTTCTTTGCCAAAAGTGGATTTTGTTTGGCCTTCTGTCTGGCCRTACTGATGGTCCTGATCTTGTTAAATGCTTTCCACTGCCCACATTATTTTATATGTATATATTTGTGATATGCAAGAGAGGAGCTTTGTGTGTCAA